AACAACAACAGCAACAACAAGTTTTTCTTTTAAACTGTTAATGCTTGGGAATTAGTGGGGTGTATATGTATGTATGTGTGTATCTTTAATGATACAATTGAAACTACAAATTGTCGAGTGTTTGTGTTGTGCGTTGATTGCTACAATAATTGTGGTATTAATAAACAACAAAATTATAATTATTTGATGCTGCTATACAAAGTTTTCTGTTTTTTTTTAAGTAGCGAAAAAAAGCTTGCCGCATCCACAGCTGATATGCTTGTAGTTGGCTCCGATGACAATCAATGATGCTGTTCGTTTTACCCACTTAAATTTTGTGTCAACTTCCGTTTCCCCAGTCGTCAATCAAATCTTTATGGTTGTGCTTCTGGTGACGTTGCTTGGCCCGAGAGAGTTTTATTTTCGCTGATTTTTAATTTTCTTTTTTGTTTCTTTCGTAGAAATTGATCTATAAAAAGAATCCATCATTTAGGAAAGAAAATATTTAACATTATCCATTAGGCTAATTCCACACAGTGACGGTGGAAAGTCTTAAGAGAGTCGGTGACGAAGAAGAGAGACAGAGAGAGAGCGAGGAAGGAAGGTATATAGGTAGGTTGTGACGTTAAAAAACCACACAGAAAAACAAATGTGATTGATAGATTTATGTTGACAGGCATTTGCGCATAAATCTACTTGTCAGAGAGAAAAAAAAAAACAAAATCAAACCAATCTGTTTTGAATGATCAGCGGCAAGTGTTTTCAAATGAAAGCGAAAAAAAACATTGACCGTTGAGAAAGAAAAAAATTGTATGTGCCAACGAAAATCAAGATATTTTGGAATATATGAAATTATGATATTCAAAAATTAGTGTTAAATGAAATAATTTTAAAAAATACACAACATTGTTTCATAAAAGTATTTTATGGAAAAATGTTTTTGTACTTTAATATTGAGAATAATAATTATTTTTTTATTATATGTAGAAGGTCTGATTAAAAAATTAACAATTATTTTCAAATTTCTTGAGTTATGTTCAAAGTTCGCATTTTTCGCAATCTCTTCGTTATTTTACGATTCAAGTGAATGTATTAAAGGAACTGCATTAAGTTTTGTGTAAAAAAATGTAATTAAATGTGCAAGGGCAATTGAATTGTTGACTGTGGCGTTTGACGACTCTACTATGAACAGAACACAATGGAGACCGCAAAACTGTCCTGGTCGTGACAACCATTGAAAATATTGAAGTAGTGAAGAAAATTATGATTTCGATAATGACATATCGTTCGGCTCATGCCAATAATTTTTTATGAATGTGTTAGCCATAAAACGTGCAACAGCAAAAATTGCTAAATTTTGAGCAAACAGAATTGTGAAAAAATCCAATCATGAATTTTTGATCAGATCTTAAGGGTTATTTCTTGATCAGACCTCGTATTTACCTAAATATTTATTGAAAACTAATATTTTTTGATAATTTCAATTCATATATTTTTTTAATCACTTAGTATAGCATAGAATCTTTTCTTATTCAAAATTGTGTTCTCGAACATTTTTTCTCGAGTGCAAAGTATATTAAGTATAGGGACATATTTTTTTTAACACATTTTGGCTAAATTGTATTGCATAGCCTTCTAATTTGAAATACTCGAACATTTTTTCTTGAGTGTTAAGTATAGGGACATATTTTTTTTTAAAACACATTTTGGCTAAATTGTATTGCATAGCCTTCTAATTTGAAATTTTCGAACATTTTTTCTTGAGTGTAAAGTATAGGGACATATTTTTTTATTTTGGGAAAATTATCGAATCTTTTCTTATCCAAAATGTGTATTCTCGAGGATATACACAGCTTTCTAACTCGAAATTCTCTAGCATTTTTTCTTGAGTGTGGAAAAATTGTCGAATCTCTTCTTATTCAAAATTGTGTTCTCGACTATATGACATAGCTTTGTAATTCGGAAGTCTCGAACATTTTTTCTCGAGTGCAAAGTATATCGACATATTTATTTTCAAAATTTTGGGAAAATCGAATCTCCAAAATGTGTGTTATACATGACGACTCTTTGCAACGTTTTGTAAGATTTTCATAACTCCAAATTCGTTAATATCACAATATCCTATAAAAATGAGCAAAACGATTCCTTTATCCTATATTGCTGACTTATGGACTGATTATAAATTTTAAATAAATGTTTTAAAAACTCAATATTAGATCAATTGAGATATTGAATATTCATACAAATCGTATATTCCAGTTTGAGATGTTCAGATATTTAAGGGTATAATTGAAAATTTTGTTATTCTCAAATATTGTGTTCAAATATCGACTGTGATTGTTTTCTTATATATCGATTCACTTTTTTCTATATATCTAACAAATTTAAAGCCACCTGCAGCATTTCTTAGCAACACATTATTTTGAAAGACAGTGACATGCCACACATGTCAATTCTAAATTTATCTTTTTTAACATTTGCAGTTGGCATTACAATATAATGGAATATAGATAAAGAATGCATTCAAAACACTTTATATTTCAGAAATTTAATCCTTATAATAAAAATGATATTAAATTTATTTTTGAGACAAATATGATTTTCAACGCTCACTCCTTCTCTCTCGTTCCCACATGTCAACACTCTCTTTTTACATTTTTTCAAGTTAGAAATCTCAAAATTAACACCCACCTCGTTTCTTTTTTGTTTTCCCAATCACAATCAATTCTAGTATTTCATCATTCAAAAATTCAATAAATCATCTGTATTCGTTTAACGTTATCGAAATTCGTAGATATTGTATTTCTTCTTTCTTTTTGTGGTTGAATGAATGCCTCAATTCAATTTCTTTGTGCTTTTGATTGATTGTATAACACCACTAGTTTTTTCATAGGATTTCTAAAAATAATATTTTTTGTGGAAACGAAATAATTCAATTTAATATTTGTTTCATCTTTTTTATATACACAATTTTTGTTGGCATACCGTTTTGAGAAACAATTTTTTGTTTGTTAAATCCTTTTTTGAAAATTCACTTTATCCAAATAACTAAATAAATAATGTAGTGGCTAACTTCCTGCTAGTTGAACTATATAAAAAAGACTGGCAATGTGGTTTGATTGTCGGTAATGAGCCAAATTCTTTGCAATTGTAATTCTCTTTTGTTTGACATATCGACAATAGTAGGTGGAGGAGGAGGCCAAAACAATTAAAAATAAATTTCGATTTAGAAAAAAAAACGTGATATTGCAGTTGAAAAAAATAAATAAAAAAGTAAGAAAGGGAAGGAAGAGAAAAATTCTCGAGAAAAAAATACAAATAAATGGAAAACCCTGAGGAAATACCATTTCAGAAATTTTATGGTAAATGATTTTGAATTTTTTTTTAATTTAGAACTATTTAAATTGAATTTGTATAATTTTTATTTTTAATAATTTTACTTTTAATCATATTAAAAATCAATGTATTTAATTTTGTTTTAATTTTTAACTATTTAGTAATATTATTTTCATTTAATTTTGTATTTTTCTCAGTGTACTATTCGTTTATTTATTTATTAACTTTTTTATTTTAATTATTTTTGTTTTCTTTCGTAACTATTTAGTGGAATCTTATTTTCATTTAATTTTTATTCGCATGTAGTATTTTTTCAGTGTACCATTTGTTTTTTATTTATTTTCTGTTGTCATTTGCCAACAAAGAAAACAAAACTGCAATGAACTTTCATTTTAAACGATTTCCCGTTCTAAATCAGTTCAGCAATGAAAACCCGAAGTAAAAACACAAAACAATGCAATTTGCATTCGATTTGTAGCGTATTTAAGGTCTTTATGTCAATGTAAAAGTAATACTGTGCCATCGCAAAAACGGTTTCCGGTTTTTACTTTTTGTTTGCCAGACATCTATTTTCCGGAAATGGAGATAATGTCAACAAAAACAATATTAATGTTTTTGTCATATAGAAACAAGTCATTTTTTTATTTTAAATATATTTATATAAATATAGTTATTTAAAACTTAATAAATAATTAAATTGTTGTTGTAGTTTTATTACATTATTGTGTTTGTTATATTTTTAATCCATTCCAATGTGTTAACATATGTAGAGATCATTTTAATTGCTTTACTGTGTCTCTTTCACAAAGCCAGAAATGTAAAGCATACTTTTAGGCGAAACATATATTAGTGGAACGTAAAAGGAAAACACTTGATACAAGTGATGTTCACACAGCACGATATGTTTTTAAAGCCATTTATCGTTTAAAATAAATGCAAATAATACATATTTATACAGTGAAACTAAAAATAATAAATACTAGTAATAACAAAAAATATTTTCCTTAGGGTTAAAAAATTATGTCAATTTAGCTATTCCCTCTGCCCCTCGTATTGATATAAATATTCCGAGCAGTCGCTAATATTACTATTCTCAAAGTGCATAGGGTACAAATGTAATAGTCGAATTCACTAGAAGCCAACATTGGTTGGTTGTGATAAAAAAGTACACTAAAATTTTAAAATCGAATATTTTTCAAGGGTTCGACCCTTAAGCTTTAGTGTGGAAAGTGTGAATCATTAAGACTTTCTCTGGGGTAAACCCATTCCAGAAGACAAGTCTCAAACTAATTATGCCGCCTTACTTAAGTGCGGAATCTCAGGAACTTATATTTTTGGTATAACGTCCCAAGTTTTGGCATTTTTATTCAAGAAAATTTTGATTTCTTTTAATTACACTCGAAATCGGCTATAACGACGATATCCAAAACCCAGAAAAACAGTTCCAGCTTGTCGCCTAAAGCGACAAATTTAGCCGGTCCCATGAACGTCGTTATATATGATTTTGTCTCCATAATAATTTTATAGTGTTGTTAAATTTAAAATAAATATTAAAATATTATAATGCTGTAGTAAATTAAAAAATAATCATCCTTTTGGAATTCTAAAGGAACAAATCAATTTCTTTTAAAAAAATTACGTTTCAAAATAAAAAAAAAAAAAATACTGTAAACCATAAAACTTACCGGATAAGTTCAACTTCTTCTTCCTTCTCGGCGATGCGACGTTCGGCTTCATGGCGGTATTGGTTGAAATCGGCAGCAACACGTTGAGCACGTTGTTCTTCAGCCTTGCGACCCTGTTAAACATAACAAATAGAGAATAAATCACTTAAAACCAAATCCAATATTAACAATAGTTTCCCAATACTTACAGCTTCGGCTTCCTTGTAGGCAGCGCTCAATTCTTCACGTTCATTTTCCAAGCGACGCAATTCCAATTCCAATTCATGCATGCGACGGTTCAATTCATTGATTGTACCCTTAGCATCATGGAGATCATCTGAAAAAAAAAACACAAAAAATTCGCATTAATCTGCTTTCGCTGTTTTGTTGTATTATTTCTCCTCTTACCTCCCAATTTCTTGTTCTCACGTCCCAATTGGTTATTAGCATCCTTAACCTTGTCCAATTCATGGACGGTACGTTGCAAGTCCAATTGCTTGTTCTTCAAGTCGCGTTGGCTGTTCTCGTACAAGACAATAGTTTCTTCGTAGCGGCTCTTCAATTCAACATTGTGCTTCTCCAAAGTGTTGACAGACTTTTGCAATTCGCGGCAGGTGTTGTTAGATTTCTCCAAATCGATAATGAGGACCTCAACTTCGCTGGCCAAGCGGGTCTTTTGTTTCTCCAAATTGTTGAGCTTGACAACCAAAGATTCCAAATGTTCTTCCAATTCGGTGATGCGAATTTGGTATTTGCGACGGATTTCCTCGCACTCCTCAGCACGAGCTGCTGCCTCGGCATTGTATTTGTTTTGCCAGGAGGCAGCATCACCATTGGCCTTGACCAACTGACGTTCCAAGTCTATGCGGGCCTCGGTTTCTTCTTCAAGTTGAATGCGAAGCGATTGCAAATCGGTTTCAGCTTGATGAAGGGAGGACTCCAACATTGAGCGACGACGGTCTTCATCTTCCAAACGGCGACGGCAATCTTCCAATTGGGAGATGACCTGGCTCTTGGAGAATGAGACGGTGTCCAATTGTGACTTGAGATCTTGGACATCCTTGGTCAATTCAAGGTTTTCTTGCGAGAGGCGAGTCTTGTGCGAGGTAATGTCGATGACGGTGCGGTTGAGCTCTTCGATCTTAACATTCAATTCGGTAATGCTAACTTCCAATTTTTCAATGTGCTTGGTGGACATGATCTTTTCCTTGTTGAAGGATTCGATTTGGCTAAGCAATTCATAGATTTCGGCTTGGAATTTGGCCTTTTCTTTTTCGGCTCTAAATTTGGTGTTTGTGTGATAAAATGGAATAGAAGAGAATATATGAAATACAATAATGTAAAGAAATTTCGATTTACTCAAAACAGAAGTGCCGGAAGCAGGAGCATAATGGGCTGTATACTTAGCATGGTTGAAAAGCTTCAGCAAGGTCTAGATGTTTGGTTATTTTTGTTTACTTTGTAAAGAAATTTTAAAAATAAAATTGAATTGAAAATGGTATTGAAATGAGTTTAATGAGAACATGAAGTGATTTTGAGAATGAATTTTAAATTGTTACATGAATTTAATTGAAATAAAAGTGGAATTTTTGATAATATAACAGATAATTAGAATTCAATTTAAAATGATTAAAAACTCATTATGGTGTATATGGAGTTACGGCATTAATCATACGATCCAAGTTACCTGGAAACATTTGTTTTCTTCTTGAATTATCTTCGTAGCGTATGATGAATGACATCAGCCATACGCCGTTTATTATTGCGCTCTACGGATTACAATTACTACCACAACACCACGGAATTTAAAGCAGAGGGTATTTAAATTGAATCATATTCGTGGAGTTAAATGAACCTTTCAAAACTAGGAATTTTTACACCTCGTAACTAACGAGGTGAGATACATCTGAAATTGTATTTTTTGGATTTTGCATTGACTTTTGTTTTGAACAAAAGAATAAAAATGGAGAGAACTTAGAGTTTCTTTCAATTATTAAATTATACTGATAGGATATAATTCACTGAAACTAGAACATTCAGTATGGGAGTTAATAACACTTATGGATGTGTTCTGGAATAGCTTTCATAAGAGTTATCGCTGAATATATTCACAAGACGTTGACAGAGATTTTGAGGTTTGAGAATAACTAAAATTCGTTTTTGATAATATTTTATGAATCATAAGAATTTTTCTTATAATAATTTTTATATATACAAAATTCTAAAACGTATACGCACTCAGGTATTAAGGACTATATGACGTATGAAAGACGACAAGATGTATACGTAGGTTTATGACCAATTATATATTAGAGATTTCAGCCCTATCTTGAAGTCGAATGAATTTATCAACAAGTCTGAACTCTGTGACAAATTAGAAACGGAAAATCTTTTATGCAATAAATTTTCGAAATTAACGGGACTCTTCGAGATTCCGGGAGTTGGGAAACCTTTTTAAAAAATTAAAATACTAATCGACTCAATATTTAGGTTTTGAATTGAAATATAAAAATCATATGCACTTCGGTGTCTAGGACTCTGTGTCGTATAAGACATGTAAATATGTATAAGTAAAATTCTACCCAATTCTTTTGAATGTTTTTGCTACACCATTCCTCTTCAAATCGAATGAGATATAATTTGATATTCGCCCTTCCTTAATGAATTGAAAAATTTTTATTAATAAGAGGGGTATGACTATCAATACAACTAGTACGCCCGAAAATATCTAGAACTAGGTGTCGTATGAGAGACGAAAAAACGTATACGCAACGTTGTTCTCAAACTAGAGTGCCATTTAGAGTTCCTAGTAGTTTGGGAAACAGATAGCAAAAATCTGGTTTCAGGTTATGAATATAGGTATCAAGTATTCTGTGTCATATGAGCGACGACAACATGTATACGCAGACTTGTACCCAATTCTTTTGAAGACTTAAATCGATTGGCATAAAATTTGGTAGTGTAAAAGGCTAAACTATTTCATTTTCCAGCTTTGGGGTATAATTTTAATATATATACTAAAAATTTTTCATTTTGTATTAAAATGCTTTAGTATCCTACACCAATTACATTTCTCTAATGGAATTAGTAGTTTGGGAACCTTTGTACGAAAACAGAAAGTAAAAATCGACTCAAGTTTCAGGTAATGCATGTAGGTATATGGTACTCTATGTGGTATGAGAGACGACAACATGTATACGCAGAGTTGTACCCAGTTCTGTTGAAGGCGAAAGACTCATTATCAAATCGAATTGGATATAATTTGGGAGTCAATAAGGCAAAACTATTTTATTTACCAGCTTTGGGATACAATTTAAATTTTTTAAAGTAATAGGAAGAACTAACAATTTTTAATTTTGGATTAAAATGCTATAGTATCCTAGACCAATTACATTTCCCCTGTTCGAATTAAGACTTATGTCATGAAACAGTTTTTTTTTATCATTTGAACACCTAAGCGTATGACTAATAACAACTGTAATACGCACTGAAGTACACATGTCTGAAATTCATTATTTTTTGTTAAATTCAAATTCAAATTTTTTCTCAAAAATTAAAATCATTTGGCCTAGTTTATGTTCGCTCAAACAAAGAATACCAAAACATTTGTGAGGAGAAAAAGAAATATGTTTCTTATTATGTAGAAAATAAATAAAATAAATGTGTCAGTACTGTGAGTAAAACATTGCCACATTCATACAAAATATAGACACACATGTCTGTTCGACAAAAACAACAACAAAAAAATGTATATTTAGAAATAAAATTCTAGTAGACGAAAACAATGTCTAATAATATTAAAAAAATATACAGCAAAACATATGTGTCTGTAATACATATTAATGTCTGAACAAAAAGAAGAAAAAAAAAACACACAAAATTTATTTTAAGATTATCTCTAGAGGGAGAAAAATATTTGGCTTTTTGGCAAAAATCAAATGGTTCAATGATTGTCATAACTCTTAGCAGTGATTTTTTGTGTTTCTTATTGAAATTCTTGAAGATAAATAAAATTAAATAGAATTTATTTTTCTTTTTATCCATTAAAAACAATGTTTGATTTTCTTTTTGCCATACAAATATATATATATATGTGTGTGTATTTGTGTATCAACGTATGTATTGCTAAAAGTATTCACTGCCGCCATTAAAATGTTTTCATCCTACGCAGCTAAGCTACGTGGAAAATCTCTGCGAAAGCAAAAGCCCACACACACAAACTTCCACAACACATATATCAAATTTCCACAAAGGTGTGCAACACACGAAAAGAGACAACATTATTTTAAGCAAAAAGGAAAAAACAAAAACAAATAAAAATATAGCGAAAAAATTCAAAATATTCAAGACATATTTGGGAAGAAACCCATTTTCAATTTTTTTTTTACATTTTTCTCCCATACACAATGATAAAAATATGCCACAACATCCACGGCAAGGTGGGGGTCTATGGGAATGGAAAGCGCAAACATTTTCGTATGATTTGGCTTTTCGGAAAAAGCTTTGTCGAATACCACCTAAGGTGGGTAGATTCAAGTGTTGCTCTTTCTCTGAGGAGAGAAATAAATAATTAACACATTATAATTTGTTTTATATATTTTCAAGTGTTTTTTTTTCTCGGCAATGGGCGTGGGTCCTATGCGTAATTGTTTATGTTGGGAAAAGCAGTGATCTCTAAAAAATATATATTTGAGCAGATGAGTGAGTTGCATTGCGCACAATCCCCCCATAAGCTTTTTGAGTGATTTGAAATATTTTCTTAGAGAGTTCAACAAAGAGAGCGATCTGCCATAGGAAGCTTTTGCTAAATTGAGTTTTTTTTTATTATTTTCCACAAACATTATTTTTGTTGTTCTTTTTTCCAAGAGATTTGATCTTTATGGAAGGAAACTTCATGAAATAAATGAAAACAATGGCCTTGAAAATTGGTTTATTGTTACATTTGAATTTCTATTTTTGTTGCAGCACCGTCAAACAAGCAAACAAAATATATGTGGATATTCCATATGTATACAGAAACCATGTATATATCTGTGTGTATATGAAACATATAGCCAAGTGGAAGATGTTGAAATTTTTTGGATAATCCAAAAAAAGTATTTTTTTAATTATAAACATTTACACTTCATGACACTGTGTCAGATTGTTTCCTAAGGAATTTTATTTGATTGAAAAAATAAACAAAATACCACACCATGAAGATTTATTCTGAACTTTGACTATTTAAATGTTTTTGGTGCTATGTGAATAGAATCTTGATTCGAACATTGGAAATATTTATACCATATAAATAAATGGAATGATGCCTGCCAATTCAATAAGGAAACAATCTTTCGAAATCGTTATAAGATATTTATTGGCAGATTTTTTTTATTTTTTCCGAGCAATTTATTTTTTTTTCTTTTTTAATTTATTGAGAATTTAAAAATAGTGAAATATGAATACCAAATGTTATTACATGTCTGACACACATGTTCATATTTTTAAATGAAAACAATTTTAGCAAGATTTTTTTAAAAAGAAAAAATAATTTGGTTTTCTAATAGAAGGCGGAGTATGGTTAATTTCAGCATGTATACGCGAGAATTCAAAATCTATATAATATTTGCAATATATTTTGAAAATATCAATTTTAATGAGAACTCTGGCGTATGAGTATTTATAAAATGCATACGCACTCAGGTAACGAGGACTATGTAACATATGAGAGAGACAATATGTATTCATAGGGGTGTACCCAAATTTTTTAGATGTTTCAAACTCATCTTCAAACAGAAATACTTGAAATATTGCTCAACAATTCTGAGGTAGAAGTAATGATACAACTCGTATGCCCGAATATACCCATAACTATGTGTCGAATGGGAAACGGAATAAATGATAGGATTTTTTTCCAAACTAATGCGGCATTTCGAGTTCCCCGTAGTTGGGAAAGTCCTTTGCAAAAATGAAAATAAAATAAATGATTTAAATTTCAGCCACCACTTGCATTGAAATGTAGAAGTAATGACCAAAGAGATATTTTTTTCAAACATTTTTATTAACGAATATCTACGTGCAAAGGAGGAATTCCAAAAGAGTACGTAAAAAAAATAAAATTTTCTTCGGTGAACACTGATGCACATGAATGTTCTAAGTCACCACTAATCTTTAAATTGCGTACTGGAGTATTGAAAATTTATACGGGCTTAAAGACTAATTTTTGTTTTGAAGACATAATAGGAGGAAATTCAATGAGAACATTATGTAGACAAAAAAGGTAAATATCACATAAAATGATTATATTAATATGGGGATTTGAATAAAATAGTACGAATGAATAACAATAAGAAGTATACGCAGCCTAGTCACATTTCGGACTCAGAATATAAAGGTATGCCGAATTTTGAAGATCATTTATTAGCCTTCCATCAAAGTCACATCATGTGGGAACTTAAACATCTGTTCCTTTTCGTGTCAAATGTCACAGAGAAGGAAATTTTCTAATAAAACCCTAAATGAGCCGACCAGCACATGAAGTCAACTTGAGAATATTTGGAGGATAGTTAAATATATATGAATAATTTTATTATTTTATATTTGGAGCTACAGATGAGCATTTTTTCATTAAAACTTCAATTGTACAAGAGCTATAAATAAATTAAATAGTACTCATCTTCAGTGGGGCGTATGAGTGGCGAGAACATGTATACGTCTACTAAGCTAAACATTAATATAATATTTTTGGTAAAATAAAGTCTTCGTGTGTATTTACATATGGATTTTTTTCATTTGTATGTAATTGATATTTCTGTTGCTTGACCTATGTACATGTATATATAAAACATAAATGGTGGGGCGTATCATTAACGACAACACGTATTCGTCTACTAAGCCAAAGTATGTTATAGTTTTCTTTGTAGTATATAGCTTTTTTCGCGACCGTATTCGCGCATAGCATTCGTATTTACATATGGTTTATTAGTATGGATGAAATTGATCTTTCTATAGCTTTATTTCCGTATATTTATTTATAATGAATATATAGAGAAATATTGTGAATTGGAAATTGGAAAACTTTTATACGGAACTTTACATATGCTATTATTTCGATTAGACATGTAGAAAATCAAACAGAAAAACAACAAGATAATGATATGCTTTTATAATAAATGTAAGAAGGGACAAGGGTGCGAATGCATAACGACAACACTTATACGCACAATATAAACCTAATTTATGGGGTATATAAACGACATAAAATTAAAAGTATTATTGATAGTTCATTTTGAATGAAATCAGGTGATAGATTGAATAATTATTGCACTGATCCAGGAATATAGGCTAAAGATAACTTTACACAAACTTGGATCGGTCATACAATAATTGTTCTTTGAGATCCTCTTTGTTTACTTCTTATGTATGCTTTTTTGAAAGGAATAAATATTTCTATGAAACTCGTGATGAAGTTAAGATACATGATATTTCATTTGAAGAACAAAATATTAAGCTGGCAAAAGCTAATTAATTTGTATGCGTTTGCATTGTAAACAATTATGGAAGCAATTTTCAAAATTACCTGCTCTTCGATTTGGTAAGAATTTCAATTTGTTCTTGGAAGTCGGCAATGATTTCGTTGTGCTTCTTCTTAAGCATCATTGTGGTTTCTTCGGATTCCAAATGGACATCTTCGAGCATTTTACGCAATTTCAACAATTCGGTATCACGTTTGCGGTTAGCTTCGAACTGAATGTGAATAAAAGATGTTCAAATAGTTTCGAAATTCAAAATTTGGTGTTGGTAATGTTTGACTTACTTGATGTTCAGCACCACCTTCGGCTTCTTCAAGACGTTCAGACATCTGAATGACTTGGACACTGAGGTCGGCTTTCTCGCGTTCAATCTGAAAATTAGAGTATTGAAAAAAGTTAGTTATTTGGTTGATATAAAAAGGAAGAGGGGATAAACTATTTTGGAGAATCGAAAACAACTTGCAAGATATATAAAAACTAAGTACATTTATTTAAAAAAATATCTTCGGCAAACAAACCCCATTTACATTTCTAGAACATTACAAATGCTCACTTAAGCTTGAAACTTTGTTCCTTGGAAACACCTTGGCGTATAAGTAATATGAAAACGTATACGGCAGATTAGTCTTTAATGATATATTATAGTAGTTTTGTTCTTGTATAATGCTAATTTTAAAGTTATGAAATTTCTTGGTATATTGATCAACCCCTTTCAGAGAAGTCCATTGAACGTATAAGGGTCACCGATATCTGTACGTCTGCACAAATTTTAATAAACCTGAGCAATACGGAAATTCTAATTCCACTTTTTTCTATCAAATATGACGAATTCGTTCTACAAAAATGTTCCTTTAATTGTGAACCAATTATAAACCGATGGACGTATAAGTAACGACAATAATTATACGCAAGTATGGTGAAGTGTAAAACCATGAGCGTATAAGTAACGACAATAGTTATACGCCAGGGTAGTAAATAATCTTTAAATATTATTTGTGGAAATATTTAATGGATGGAGGAGAAAGTTTATGAAATAGGTTCCGATAATCTTGATTACTATAAAAAAAACACAATGCTTATGACATCTGGTTTTCAATATTTATTAAAACCGCAATTTTTATAATTAAAATTGTTATCAACAATATTATTATAACTTGTATGACCTCTAATAGTCCTTTAAAACAAACATTAAATTAATATTACAATTTGTCATGTACAATTTTCAAAACATTAAAAATTGAATAACATTAATAAATTATTATTGATTCAAATAGAGCTGAACGCTAAAACGTGTTCGGTTATAAATCATTTGCAAATAAGAGAAAAAACGATCATAACATTTGTTGCGGTTATTGCTCATTTTAAGGTAACGCATCAACGACAAAAACAAAACACACACCCATGAGAGTGTGTAGTTTTTTTGTTTTATTCTCGAAAAAGCGGCAAAATGCCAAAGAATACCCCAAAACAAAAATTGAGAAAAACAGCAGCAAAACATATAAATAGGCAAAAATAGAATTGCACGTTTGAAATGCGAATGTTAGATAGGAAAAAACGACAACAACAATCGCAATGCATTTTGCCATGCACCACATGTAGTGCCATATAAAAAAACAACAACTACTACTACGGGAAAATGGACAGCTCCTATGGATGGGCACAATAAAAAAAATTCCAAATTCATCCAATTTTACTAAACGACACTCACACATGCCATAACAGCACTGCAGCCACCACCGCCGCACCATTTTTTGGCCATTAATGTTTGCGTGTGCAAGGAATATTTCATAGATAGTTGGTAAAAGTAGAAGCAGAACAACAACAGCAAAATTCAAAGATCTCCACAGTAGCAACAAGAAATTCTAATTAAAAGCAATATGAAGCAAGAATAACAACAGAAGCTGCAACAGCAGCAGCATCACCGCCATCGGCTGAAAAACTACCAGCAAAAAAACAACAACAACAAATTTAATTATAAACATTCGAAATGACCCAAATTAATTACTCCGACACATTGGCCGTCCAAGAGACGGCTACAACGCCAGTGAATGAAAAGAAAGAAAGAATTTTTATTATTAACAGAAGGTAGAAAACATAGCCGAAATGCCCGAATGCATTAAAAATTATATTTGTTGATATTTTTATTAATGCGAAATAACAAAAAAAAATTTCGAAAACCCAAAAAATAAGAAGATTTTCCCTGACCAATATCACTAATACCAGCAAATTGTGCAAAATAGATTTCATTTCAAATTGTTTTTGATTTCTTTCTTAAGAAGAATGTAAATTACCCAGCGTAGATAAACACAATTTGAATGGTCTTATGATTTATTTTGATTTCAAAGAATTTTTGCGGTGGCCAAAATAATAAGAAAATACAGATTTTCTTTTCGGGTACAAAATACTTGGCAGAAAAAAAATGTTAATTAGTAACCAAAATTGTGGGGAATTAAAATATTGGGTGTGATTTAAAATTAAATTTAAATTTATTAAACTTTAATTTATACCAAATTTCAAAATTTTGGATTGAGCAATATATTTATTATTATTTCAAATAACTAAGCAATATAGAAAGATCACGTATTTGATATGAAATATGAACTAGTCAACGTATGAGTATTGCCAATAAACATACGCATCGAAACACCGTAAATATGGTGTGCAGGCATTGGACAGAAATCATATGAACTATTCTGAGTTTTTTTATATGAAATTCAATTCATAAACAAATTCATAATTGTAAAAATATGGTGTATTTGAATATTAAGTCTTAAATAATGAAACGTAATAAAACAAATTACAAATCGGGTATATATTCTAATTTTATTTTTTTAGCATTTGGTTGCCCCTTTATTAATAAAAATAAAAATCTGTTTCGTTTTAGAGCCTGAAAATAACTCAAATACAATTGTTAAGGATTGTGTACCCTGCACCGTATAAGTATTTGTCAATAATTATACGCATCAATGTAACTTAAGCCAATGTTAAAAGGTTCAAACTAAAATAGGACTGAATCGAACATAAAATAGGGATCAATACGTATAACTAGCAACAATAAGTATACGCTCAGAAGTATTCTAACAATATAGATCTTAAATAAGCTGATCATGTATTATTTTATGTATTACTTCCAAAAGGAGAATTGTAAAATATATTCGGCTTCGAAAAGTCATGCTTATGACAGCTGCAATATTTATACGCTCGGAAGAGATCTACTGTGTTTACGAAAAATAATTTCGGCACATTGGCGTATTAACGGTGACATCAAACTATACGCATCAAACTACAGAAAAATAAGTATATGACAATCTGTATACGTCAAGATGGCTGTGGATGAACGTTTTACATCTATTTGCAAATAATTGTACTTGATATTTCGAACAAGAATGCGTATGGCAAGTGCAATGATATTACACTCGGATTTATACTAATAATTTGGACTTATTTGGACGATATAAAGATTCTATTTACCTCATCCTTATCACTAAAGTTTGCAAATAACTCTTGATTACAATTTATGTTTAAATGGCGTATGAGTAATGACATTCTGTATACGCCAGGATGGTTGGGGATTAACTTTTTTACATCTAATACAAATAATCATAACTGAGATCTCGAAAAGCCATACATATGACAAGTGCAATAATTATACGCTCGAAAGTACAGCTACTAGATCTGCAGTATTTACCAAAAATAATTTGAAATCATCGACGAATTAATTCTGACAACATTATACACCTCAAACCACTGAAAATCCCATTTAGATATTTCATTCAACAGCATCCCCATCACTAAAGTATGCAAATAACTCTTGAGGACAAGTTTATGTTTATATAGCGTATAAGTAATATCAAGCTGTATACGCAAGGGTGGCTGGGGATTTAACAATTTAAATGAGCTATGAGGAAACGGAGAACATATTCACATTTATTTAACGTTTTAATTTACATCACAAATAATCGTAGCTGGGATCGAAAGGTAATGCGTATAAGTTGTGCCAATAATTATACGCTCTGATTTACCAAAAAAATTCGCATATTCCAAGTTTTCTTCATTGATTTTTTAGAAGGAGTGTTGTAAAAAATGGCGTATGAATAATTGCAAAAATTATAAGCCTCAAATTAGAGAAAAATAAAATCTACGTATGATTTATTTCAATTATAATACGCTCTGAATATGTATTTGACTATAAGACGACATTTACACTCATCATTGGCGTATGAGTAATACTCATAAGTAAGAATAATACGAGTACTGAAAAAACTGGAGGGAACTTCTATGAAATGTCTAAAAAGAATTTGCTTATTTAGCATTATTTCCGATGTATGGAAATTTAATTAATATTACCTTTTTGTTTCAAATTGAATCATCCTATATATATATATATATATATATATATATTTATCATACGCCTACAAACTCTTTAAACATCTTCCCAACATGGGAAAAAAATCTTAAAAAAAACAATTTTATAAATCTCAAAATTTCTTCCAAAACTTTTTCTATTGAATTTAAAACAATTGCCCATAAACAAACAAGATTTTCTTTGAAGGGAAAGAGGTTTTCTTTTTGTTTATTTTTGCTTACATTCTAGCCAGTCAGTTAAATTACATTTAATTTGTAACACATGCTACCTTGTGGTCTAAAGCAACATGTGTTGGAAATTTACCAAAAGTATTAAATTATACAATTTTACACCTTAAGGTGTGGTTGATGCATACAAAATGAATTTCATGGAAAATTTTCTAGGAAAATTTGTTCAAAAAGGGGTTTATTGTTTATAGTTTTTTTTTGTCGTAAATATACAATTGTCTTATTTTTATTTGTGAGGGTAAAATGTGTAAATGAGATAAATTCTATATACCATATGTAAATTTGTTTTTATAGATAACAGACCTGATGAATGTATTATGAATATTTTTGTATAATAGTTCTATGAGTCAGAAATACAAACAACATGTGGGGAAAATGTTCTTATTTTTATATATAAACAACTAGATAGCCTTAATATATTTTTGTTGTATTTCTTTTGCCTACTGAGTAAAGGATTTACCATTTATTTTTAAAATAAGATGAACAATATTTTGAATTAATCATCACTTGTCTTCATTTATAGAAATCTGAAATTGCTTATTTTTATGAATCTATTTTATGTGTTTCAAACACTGAACAACAAATACAGGCACATAAACAATACAAACAATATTACAATGTTTTCATTTTGAGATGAGAGCGTATAGTAATTTTAATATATTGGCACACTACGGCGTATGATTCATATTAAATGTAGGTTACACTCTGTTCACAAATAAGGCAATATTGTAGTACTTTTTAGGAAGAATAATAAGGGTATATTGAGTAGATGTTTTCC